CGTCAGCGTACATTGCCAAGAAGGAAGCAGAAAAGAAGGCAGCAGCAACAACAGCAACAGGATCAGGTGAAGCAGACAGGATCCAGAAGCTTGAAGAAATGATGAAGGAGATGATGAAGGAACGCAAAGAGGATAAAGAAAGGATTGCAAGCCTTACACAGGAGCTTGAGAGCAGAGGATCAGCAGCCGGGTCGCAGGCACCCACAGAACCAGACACAACACCAGCAAAGGAAGAGGAGAAGCCAGAAGCAAAAGGAACAGGAAAAGCAACAGGAAAGGAGCCACCGAACGTCACACAGCACAAGCAGAAGGAAGAAGACAAGGACGACCCAGAACTGTCCGCCAAAGGACCAGTGAACGAAGCATCGTTCATGAAAGGAAAAGGAAAAGGAGAGTTTGAAGGAAACTGGTTTGCAGTCTACAGTTTCCAGAACAGGAAATACCAGTGGAAGTGGAACGAAGCCAAGACACAGTGGTACTGGTATTCAGGATCAAAGGAAACAGGTTGGAAAGCAGCGTCAAAGGACAAGCAAGGAAAGGAAAAGTGCAAAGCGCAAGCAAAGATGAAAGAAGAGTGGCTAAAGGAACAGCTTCAAGACCAGAAGGAAGCTAAAGACAGCGAAGAGGAAGGCGAAGTAACCTTCCAGTGAAGCAAAGGAACCACGAGCAGTACTGAGGCCAGAGAGCCGAGGAAAGAAGCAGCAGGACACAGGAACCGTGGCACAGCCCTTTTTGTTTCTGTGGTGATCTAGGTAAAGTGCAGGAACGTCTTTTGTACAGTCGAGCAACCTTGGAGAGGATTGCGAGTGAACGTGCGCATACGTTTGCGATGAGGAACAGTGTTTGTTTTGCAAGTGAAAAGGAACTGCAGCGTGTTTACTGTTTGTCAAGGAAAAGTCGGAGTCACCTCAGTCGAGGAACTTTCGCTAACTCCGAAGGCGGGGTGTTAAACATTCTGCCAGGAACAGTAACACAGCTAGTGCAGTACAGTTAATGTACAGGAACAGCCGTCACGCACACGCGACGTGCAGGCTCGAGACCCCAGGACACACCGTGCCCAGGAACAAAAGTGTCCGACAGTCTTTGTGGGTAGGAACCCTTAGTGAAGCCCGTTCTTTAACAATCACGCAAAAACGGACGAAGCAGGGTTTCGTTGCATCATCACAAGCAATGCAAGGACCTCATGGAAAGGAGCATGCGACGGGCGGCTTGTCCATGGAATGTTCAGCGGCAATGGCTTTACGTTATGGGGCCATATGGAGGATGCTGCAAAGGAGGGGCGATCATGTCGCCCTAATCCTGGTGCTAAACCGTAAAGTCTAAACTTAGGGTTGAAGGTTGACGTTTAGGATTGCCCCTGAGCCCTAACACCCTGAAGCCCTAAAACACCCTCTCACACCTGATTTCTGCCCCTTCGTAAGAGGAGCGGCGACATGAGCTGGTCTGCACGGTTTCCATCGCCCTTCGCAGGTTTCAAGCCGGACGATTCGTGGGCCCAGCAACCGAAACGCCCTCAATGCTAGCAATCCCCGCAAGCCGTCCAAACCAGCCGTCGAAGGTTAGTCGCGCAGACAAACCTACTGCAGCCGCCGCTTGAGCTGCACGGTGATCGCGAAACAAAGTCACCACCGCGACCGTGTTGAGGGGACTACGCCATGTTGAGTCACTGTTAGTGCCCATTACCAAAGTCTCGTCCTTGTACCATTTATCTTTTGTTGTAGGACACCACTCACAGTCATCTGAAACAACATATGGATTGGATTCACACTTTACAGAAATGTGGTTCGTGGTTCCTGAGAAAATCTTGAAAAGTTGTGTGTGCGTGCATTTGTCGACGGCAGGTTCCGCAGTGCTTTTGGCTAGTTGAGGGTTGGGGCCGCCGGGAGGGCTTTTGAGAGTGCTCTCCGAAGCATGGCGAAGCGGAAATGTGACGAGCGCGTGCCAGTCACGGTGCTCACAGGCTTCTTGGGCAGTGGGAAGACCACCTTGTTGAACCACATCCTGTCAGATCAGACTCATGGGCTGAAGTTCGCGATCATCGAGAACGAGTTCGGTGAGGTCGGCGTGGATGAGAAGATCGTGAAGCAGCAGGAGAATGTCTCAGAGGAGATCATTGAGGTCATGAACGGCTGCATTTGCTGCACGGTGCGCGGTGATCTGGTGAAGACGCTGAAGCGCCTGCACAAGAAAGTCGAGCAGTTCGATGCCGTCATCATTGAGACCACCGGTCTGGCAGACCCAGCTCCGGTGGCACAGACCTTCTTCGTGGACGAGACGATTCAGGCCCAATACAAGCTCGACGGGATCATCACCGTCGTCGATGCGAAGCATGTCATGCAGCATCTCGATGAGAAAAAGCCAGAAGGCGTGGAGAATGAATCCGTCGAGCAGTTGGCTTTCGCAGACCGCATCTTGATGAACAAACTCGACCTGATCCCTGATACAGCGGAGCAGGACAAGATAGAGGCTCGAATCAAGTCCATCAACACATCGGCAGAGGTTTATCGCTGCCAGTACTCCAAAGTCGACCCGAAACTCTTGCTGAACCTGAACGCCTTCAGCCTAAGTCGTGTCTTGGAGATGGATCCAGAGTTCTTGGAAGCCGAGGGGACAGATCACCAGCACGATGACAGCGTGACAAGCATCGCGGTTCAATTTGAGGGCGAGCTGAATGTTGTGAAGCTGGAAGAGTGGATCGGCTACCTCATCGGAGATCCTGCGAGGGCCAACAATCTGTTCCGTTACAAGGGCGTTTTGGCAGTGAAAGGTCAGGACAGGAAGTTCGTGTTCCAGGGCGTCCACATGCTCTTTGCGGGCAGCTACTCCGACGAGCACCGGTGGGGACCAGATGAGAAGCGGGAGTGCCGATTCGTCTCTGGGTGCCGATTAGGGATAAACTTTTACCACCATTTTCTGGCTCAATGTAAGTGGTAATCAGTAACTAGAACCCAAGCTGCAGATAGCTTTCAGGGCGGTTGAAATCGATGCTTAGGTCTTTATCGGCAGGAACATCGACAAGGAGTCCCTCAAGGCTGGCTTCGAAGGCTGCAAGCAAGACGACAAGCTTCGCTTCCAGGTAGGTGACATGGTCGAGATCCAGACAAAGCAGGGTTGGAAATCAGCAAAGGTCGTCGCGCTCTGGGAGAAGGGGAATCCATACCGCTTGGAGCTGCAGCTCTGTCATAATTGGATAACAGTTTAGATTTTCATGGGTACTTAAATCCAACAAGAATAGAAACTATAATTTTTTACTGCTATCCCAACCATGAACTAGGCAGGAGGACAGAACCAGTGTTTTCGGGCCGCTGGATGACGACATGATCATCCGGGCAGCTGGTGGCGCGTAGCGAACGAATGGATCCAATGCGTAGAATTTTCGGCGTCGGCTGCTTCCAGTCTCAACTTAGAGGGGTGGTGCCAAGAGACAAAGTTCTCGTCATAGACCATTATAAACCGTTATGTTGTGATGTTGGAAAAGCTCACTGCCATACTGTGTCGCTTGGACGGTTTCTTTTGATGAGCTCTGCGACAGAGTTTCGGTTGTGCTCTTAAGGCGTTGGTTTCCATTGCCATACTAAGTGAGCGTTTGATCCAAGTTGGGTCGCGGCGTTGCGGGATATGATGATGACGGGTGCGTCAGCACTGCCAAAGCTGATGCTGCAGACACATGCTATCAGCTATCACTGTGACAGCACGATGAGTGTTGCCACCTTTGATTCCCATGATTTCTCTTTCCAGATATCTACGAAGATCAGACTGACGAGGAAACTAAACATTCGGACGCCGAGGTGCACAGCAGCTTCACGGCATGAAATGTGCATCAGTTTTACAGCGTGATGCCTCACCGAAGCCTCTGCTTAACACCACAGTGATGCCAATGACAATGAGCTCTGGCAGTGATGGAGTCAGTGATGGAGACTTCTTTTGTCTTGACAGCTGTGGTCAGCGATGAGGCTTACTTGGCCAGGAATATCATTGTACTTAGTCGCGAGAACATTGCCATCTCAATATCACACAGCAGGCCTCACCGTATCGAATCTCCATGACGACCACCCTAAACCCTGAACCTTCAGCAGCACTGTTGTTACAGGCACCGCTTGTTGTTGCAGCATGAAGTTTCGGTGGCGCATCGAGATTGAAAGCCTCAAGCGAAAACTTCACTCCAATGTGCTTTCAATGCTTATTCCAACAGGCATTGTCTATCATTATTTGTGTTGCTACCATTGTTGTTTCTGTTCATGATGACACAAACACTTATCAATCTTATAGCACAACCATTACCCGGAGGATCCCGGCAAGAGTTGCTGAGTCTTCGGAGTGAGTTTCACACGTCAGAAAGTCATCGAGAGACGGTGTGGAAGAGCCTTCGTAGGAAAGTTGGATCTCTACAGCCGGGGTCGTTCAGGGGTGCAGTGCCCATAGACTCCAACACCCCTTAATTGAGCATTGTACGAGGGATCTTCGGCAAGAGTTGAGGTATACCCCCGAATCAAAAAGGTTTGGGGTCTTTGGTAGGCATGGTGTTCTTGAGATAGCACGCCATGGTGGCCATGCACTTCCTCCTGGCTGCGCAGTGTCTTGCTCGCAAGCGAGCAGGTTGTTTTGATGCTCCTCTTTGTCTATCGCATAGTTCAACTTTTTTGTCGTCTTGTGACCGTTTCTGCTGTTGGTGGCACTTGTGGCTGCTGGGTTTCAGGGGGCTGTTGTTATGGCTGTGGTGCTTTGTGTCTTTTATCTCGTTGCTGCTGATGTTGCAGTGTGGTTGCCATCGTTGTGGTATTGATTGCTGCAGCTCTTGCTCTCGCTGCTGGGATGGAAATGAGGGGATGCTCAGACGTTTTCGTGGGCTTGCAATGACCACGAGTGTGGCTATGCTGGTCATGAGGACCATGCGGGCCAAGAAGATGGGATTGACGTGCTGCTGCTGCTGCCGCCGGCTGGCGACGACGATGATGATGAGGTCATGGTGATCTTAAGGTTTCTGATGCTGCTGTATGACGATGAAGACTGTGGTCGCACTTGGCATGCTCACCACGATGGATGAGACTTATGACCATGATGATGGTCCTGGTGGCGTCGGTGGTGATGACGATGAGAGATTTCTGGTGACGAGGATCTTCATGAGGCTGACGATGGCCCCTTTGGTCGTTCTCGGTTTAGGGTTTAGGATCCACTTTGTTTTCGAGCCCGGAAGGTTGGACGAACTTTGGAATTCGTTGCAGGAGGGCTTCAAGGGCCCACAGCACTATCTACGTCTGAGAACACCGGGGGCCGGGTACATCAATATACTGCAGTATGCTATGGTCTGTTGTAGCAGTATTAACAGTATACTGCGGCATATTACAGTATGTTGTGGTATAGTACAGTATGTTATAGTAAAGTACAGTATGTTATAGTATGTTACAGTATAGTATAGTATAAGACAGTATAGTCTGTTATAGTTTGATATCTTAGAAGCTGCCCCCACCCTGTAATAGTGGTATAGTAGGAATATAATAGGGCCCTAATATAATCCTTATAGTCACTATTACAGGGTGGGGGCCGCTTCTGATAGATCCCTTTAAAGGAGCCCTGCAAATAACCACCAGAATCCCTAAAGAGCCCTTTAAAGGGACCCTTAAAGGAACCCTTACAGAATCCGTATAGTTCCCTTTAAAGGAGCCCTTCATTGTGGCCGGAGTGTCCGAGGCTCCTTCTCCTCCTCCGTGCCGAGGAGCCCCTTCCGCCGCTTCCCCCAGGTCGCTGGCGGCTTGGGGTTTAGGGCTTAGGATTTGGGGTTTTAGGGTTTAGGGTTTAGGGTTTAGGGTTTAGGGCTTTGGGTTTAGGGCTTAGGATTTGGGGTTCAGGCTCAGAGCTTTGCCGGTCCCAGCTTCGTTTTAGGGCCTTTAAGGTTTTGGTTTAGGGTTTAGGGTTTAGGGTTTAGGGTTTGGGGTTTAGGGTTTAGGGTCTAGGGTTTAGGGTTCTGAAGATTCTACGAGTAGATCTATGTAGTCTATGTTGTGTTTGAGAATAGCAGTCCACGCATAGCCGGGTGCTTGAAGCACAGTGGCAGTTGATTTTTTTGGGTGGTTCCAGGGCTTTTCTGACCAAATCTACAAACAGGTCAATCTTGGGGAGAGCCAGCAGGGGAGTTGCTGCTATTGCTCTCGCTGGTACTGTAGGACTTGCTCGCTACCATGTTAAGGAGCAGCTACGAGAAGAAGGGTCCTGCGTCGAACACCCTGCCCCCCTAAACCCTAAACCCTAAACTTGAGTCGAACACCCGACAGCTCAGGTCTAGACCCTGAATGCTCAACCACCTTGAGAAGCCGTAGGACCCATGCAGCTCTGGGTACTGAAACGGACCCTGCGATGTTGCATTGGCATTTGGGTTGCCCAGAGTTGTGAGGTTCCGAAGATGAACCCAGATATGGGAGTCTCCGAAAATTGGGGACCCAAATATCGTACCCTAGATCGTAGGATCCTTAACATAAGGACCCCAAACTTGGAACCCCTTAATTTTCGGAAGCTCTAAACCATCATAGAGCCGTAAAAAGGAACCCTTATAGTACCTTATAGTAACCCTTTAAGGGAACCCTTAGGTACCCCTAGCTTTCGGAAAGAACGCTGCTGGCATCGGAAGGAAGCCCTCCCTGACGCAAAGATGCTTGGAAGGATGAGAAACAACCTGAAGCCGTAGCCAAATGCTTGATAAATCCTGCATTACCTTAATGACCCTAAAGTATGGGAACTATGGTATAATGCGATTATGGATAATGCAGGATTTATATCATCAGCAGTCGGAAATCTCTAGGTGATTGGGACTGCGAACTCCATCGAACGCTCTTGTGATACGACATTCAAAAAGCCGGGACCCAGAATCATTCAGGTGAACAGCTCACAATCCTAAGCCCTTAAAACTTAGAAGTGCGCAGAACACCTAAACCCTAAACTTCAAACCCGAAGCCTTTAACCCTAGATCCTCAGTAAACCCTGAACCCTAAAGCTCAAACTCAGCCACCTGGAAGTCTACTGCCTGAACCCTAAACCCTAACCCCTAAACCCTAACCCCTAAATCCTAACCCCTAAAACCCTAAACCCTAAACCCTAACCCCTAAACCCTAAACCCTAAAACCCAAACAACACCTCTGCCCCCAAAGTTTCCGCAGGCGGACCGTCGCACGAGGCCCTGAGACTGGAATTCTTTGAGGGATGGCTTTGGGTGGGTCTGGGGGAGGTGCTTAGGCTTGGAGCTTTGGGGTTTAGGGTTTATGGACAAAAAACCAGGATTTGGATCATCGGAGCTTTGGGTCTGAGGTTCCGGAGGTTCGGGTTTGGGCTTTCGAACCTTCCCAGAGACTCCAATATCCCTTAATTAAAGAATATATCTTTAAATCATATTAGGGATCCTACTATAATTTATGGTATATTATTAATTAAGGGATATTGGAGTCTCTGGGTTGTTGACTTTCTGCGTCGAGGCCGTCAATGCCGAGGGTCCTGAGTGCGGTGAGGGTCAGGTTTGGCGTGACCTCCTCCGGGGCTGCACCTTTCAACTGCAAGAGCGCCAAATCAGCCAGATTGGCAACGCCGGTGTCCTTATTAGTTTGATGTTGTCCTATGTTTTAGTTTTGTTCTTTGCATTTTGTTTCTTTTGCGGGCGTCATGGTTGTTGGTTTCAGAAGTTTCCCGTGAAAGTGCCATCGCAGGCGGCAGCCAGCACGACGGCCGACAGGACCACTGTTCGAGAAACCTCAGCCTCAGCGCCACCCGTGACACAAAAAGCCACAACCAACAAGCCTGCTACTACCACCACTAGCACCACCACCAGCAAGAAGACGACCACCACGACCACCACGACCACCACGACCACCACGACCACCACGACCACCACGACCACAACGACCACCACGAGAAGCACTCATCCCCTTCCTCCCATGTTTGCAAAGCCTTTGACGGTGGGGCCGACGACGCCTACGACGAGCACCACGACGCAGTCGACAAAGGAGACTTGCCGGGTTCAGCGGGGCTGGAGATTTGGGACTTTCCGAAAATTGGGGGACCCTAGTATAGTACCCTAAATAGTAGGATCCGTATTACAAGGAGGCACGCCTAAGTTTCGGAAACTCTCAATTTGGCAACCTAAAAACATCGAGCTTTGCTTCACCACTTCTCAAAAATCATTGATGTTTTTGGTACATCGCCTTGCCTATCGAGCCTGAGACAAAGCGACTATTCATAGCGATGATTTCACTGGTTGTAGTTGTAGCGCGTAAGTGTGGGGCAAAGTCTTCGTAGAAGCAGTCTTCATGTTCACAACACTGCAAAAATTCTGTGGTCTGCTGTCGACGGAAGAAGATGACATCGAAGACTGTTGCGCTTGCGCCATGCGCTCTGAAACCTAAACCTTTCTGGACCCTTTCTGGAGGGTGGAACGCCCTCGAGGCTCCATATTTACAGTGTTTTCACAGGTTTTGTAGTGACTGAAACCTAAACCCTAAACAGTATGACTAAAGCAAGGTTACCAGGACCAAGGGTAGGCGCAGAATGTCCGAGATGACGCACAACAACAAGAAGGCTCATCAGGTAAAATAGGGGCCTTAATAAGTAGAACAGGGTTCCCTTAAAGGGGTCTATAAGGGTTACTATAAAGGATCCATAAGGGTACTATAATATAGGGGCCTTAAGAATTAGAATACGGTTTTGGGGCCCATTATACTATAGTTAAAAGAAGGAACCCCAGGAGAATAGCAGCACCTGAACTGCGCAGGAGTCAGGAATCGTAGTAGCATGCATGACAGGAATCTAGATGGCCAAGGTTCGATGATAGCGACGGGGACAAGGATCTACAGTCTCCTTAGGAATTATTATGTTTTTTTTTTTTCAAATTCTTGTTCATACAAAACCCAAGAGAATATTAAACATATCATATTATGATTATTATGGTTCGAAGGGGGGGTCTAGGGATACTGTGGTAGTATGCAAGGCTTGATTCGCATGCGCAGAAGCCGTGAAGAGCAGAAGTAGCCTCAATCCCGCCGCTCGCCAATCCCAGAGCCCCAATTTGCTGCAGCCCAGAGACTCCAATATCCCTTAATTAAGGAATATACCTTAAATCATATTAAGGATCCTACTATAATTTAAGGTATATAATATACCGTATATTCCTTAATTAAGGGGTATACCTTAAATCATATTAAGGGATCCTACTATAATTTAAGCTATATTCCTTAATTAAGGGATATTGGAGTCTCTGGGAGCCCAGAGATGCCTCGACTTGAGAGCCGCCCCATCCGCTTTTGACGCCCAAGGCGACGACGACCGCCAGCACCTCCACCATCCCTCCCGCCGAAGCCTCGGACTTTCCCTGCTGGGTCATAGGCTGCCAAGGTTTGGAGTCATGTTTTGCATCATGACCACAAATCATGGTATCTTCATTAGTTGCATCTTGGACTTCTGCCACACGATCTTCCTCATGATGCCGATGATGATGACCACGAATGATATTTGTCCTGCTTTTTTTGTTGTCGTGGCAGCTCGGCATTTAGATGCATGGTGGCATGTTTGTCACTATGCACCACAGCATAGGGCCAGGGCTATGGTGAGTTCTTCCGATTGCGATCCCCAAACCCTAAACCGAACTGGGCCCAGTTCTCGCGAGTGCCAGACCCCTTCTCGAGTGTTTGTGTTTTGCTGTGCCCACATTGACACGTCTGCACGGCTCCTTTGCCACCGATTTGGGCAACGGATCTGTCACCACTCCAATAGTTCTATGTTTGGGGCTGCCATTAACTCAGGCAAATAAGGTGTAGTTTTTTGCCGGGGGTCTTCGGCGCGTGTATACGGCGCTCCTTCCGAAGACAGCGCTCCTTGCGAATAGTAGCTGAGCAGCGTGTGTACATTTGGGGTGTTCTGATGGGGATACTGTGGGGTACTAGTTCTGCAAACCTCCCAAACAGTGTCATCCAAGCAAATGCAACTACGTTACAAACAAGAGTCGTGATAGTTGCAGTATCCGATAGTATTGCAGTGATTCTTTTGGGGCTTTGCAGGCAAATTTCAGAACAAACGGGTGGACGCCTGAAGGAAGAAGCCTGAACCCCAGATTGCTTCGACCCCTGCCTGCTACAAGCCCGGCGCCCTGAACCCACAGTCTATAGTCTCCTTAGGAATGAACTTTTTCATATAGAACCCAGGAGAATATTGGACTTTCTATTTTTATTATGGCTCTAACGGGGGTATAGATAGTTTAGACCCTCAGCTACAGCCATGGAAGCAAACGGGCCTCAAGCACCAAAGCTTCCTGTCTGGGCTACTCGGAAAAGAGAAGAGCCAGAGGAGGGAGTTTCCGAAAATTAGGGGTACCTCAGTTTATGGGTCCTTGTAATAAGGATCCTACTATTTAGGGTACTGTTAGTACTATATTAGGGTCCCCTAATTTCGGAAACTCCCAGGAGGATAACATCATGGACCCAGCGTACTGGCACGGAGCGCTTTCCCCAGGTGCGCCGGGGTCTTTTTGCAATGTCGGCCTGACCCTAAGCGCTACACCCGTCGCCAAAACTCCAACCGCGAAAGCCTAAACCCGATACCGTATAAACCTTCAACGTAGTCAAGCTACAAACCCCGAACCCTCGAACCTCAACCCTCGACAGAAGCCCTGAACGAAAGCTTTTCCGGGTTCCACGATGTCATGGTGTGTGTTCCTCCAGCTCCACTTCGACGGCAGCCGCCATGCGGGAAGACTGGTTGCCAAGTTCAGGCTGCATTTCACAGAAAATATCTGATCCATCACGCAGGCTATTTGTTCGGAGTTCCTCAACATAACTCAATTACAGCATTGAAGCTCTGAAGGCCCATATGACCACCTGGGTCCCAAGCTGCGAACTGTCGCCCACCTGCTTGGAGGTTCAGGGGTAGTTATAAGTGGGGTTATGAGTCTCGTAATATGGGTAATAAGTATAGTTACCCTACTTATAACCCTACTTATAAGTACCCATGAACCTCCAAGTGCTACTGCCAAATTCATCGCCGCGCTAGTCCTCTATGCCAAGCCATTAAGCCGTTCAATGCCGTTCCTCGGCAGATGGGCTTAGGGTTTTGTTTGAGACTGTGGCTGCTTAGGAAGTTTCAGAATCCCTGCTGCAAACTAGTCCTTACATCAACGAGCTTCTTAAATGGAATCCGATATGATCAACTACTTTCCAGATACAACAACCACTACGAGCACTACGACCACCACCACCACCACAACGACGACCACAACCACGACAACAACGACAGAGGATTTCGTCAAGTCGATCGAGGTGCGCAGTTTAGGGTTTCAGTTTTTGGATTTTTTGGATTTAGAATTAATTTTCAAGGTTTCGGGTTTGTTGTTTAGGGCTTACGGTTTAGTTCCGGTTGTCTGGTTTAACATGACCTACATTCGGGTTCCTCCGTGTAGGGAGTGTAGGGTGTAGGGTTTCAGAGATTTTCGGGGCCCGGCCACATGACCTGTCCTACCGCAGACCGAGACTGCCACATAGGCAGGTACCTTAAATATTAGGTGCCGTACTATATTAGGGACCCAAAAAGGGACCATAATTTTGACAACCACCCACAAGGGTTTAGCCGAGGAGCTGGGAGGATATTTCCAGCTTTCGGGATTCCTTGCTTTTCTTGTAATAGTAATAATGGTAATAAAAATAATAGTCATAATAGTCATAGTAATATTTTTTTTTTCAGGTTTGGTTCAGGGTTTAGCGCTTAGGCTGTTCGGGTTTTCGGGTGAAGGGTTGAGCTCTCTCGTTGGCCGTCGACATATTGCCGATGGGCAGGAAGAGCTTGAAGTGCCCTACAGCAAAGAAGTTTCCGCACACCGCTCACAGCTAATGCAAACTTTTGTCCTGCTGCCGATCACTCATCTGCCCTAAGCCCTATGAGTTTAGAACCATAGCATGCCAGGAGCACTCTGAGTCACCCGGCGGCAGTAATTTCTCGATGCCAGGGGAGTGATTTTGCATCTCTCACCTGTCCCTCTTTTTCGCTCCTGCTGACTACTTCTCTTCCTCACTCTCCCTCTCTCTCTCCCTCTCTCTCTCCCTCTCTCTCCCTCTCTCTCGCTGTCTCATGACTATATAGGTGTATACACGCATAGAAAGGTGTGTGAAGATGACAGAACATACACATATACATGCAAATACATGCATACCTGTATGCATACACATATGTACATGCACATATGTACAGGTACACATATGTAGTCATATACATGTAGATGTCCATGTACATGTACATACGTCTGTGTGTGTATACATAAACACAGTATATACACATGCATAGAGACACGTCGGTGTAGGTTCAGTCAGCACACGCGAATAATAACGCTTGGTTTATGCATGTCTGCCTGTCTGGGGGTAATGCAGTGCACTGGAATGCAATGTGGTGCATGTCCGTCTGTCCGTCTGTCCGTCTGCTGTGTCTCTCTGTATATGTATGTGTATGTAAGTAAGCATGTATGTATGTATGTCCGTATGTATGTAAGAATAGATGTAGGTTTATATGCATGCATGCATGCAAGCACGTGTGCATGTATGTATGTATGCATGTATGTACGGTCTTATGCATGTATGGATGGATGAATGCATGGATGGGTGGATGTAGGACGGTTCATATGGTAGTGCAAGTTTTGACATCAGGATTGCTTCTGCATAGTGCGCACATGCCTGTTTCATTGCACGAATGTTTCGTGTCAGCACCACTGGTTTCTTCTCGTGACTTGAACATGCATGCATGCATGCCAAGCGGAAGAGTGGTGTTGGCATCATTTCCAGCTTCGTTGTCATCGTTTTGACATTACAGCAATTCGGCGAGCTACGAGTTACTAAGCAATCATCACCCGTAATGCCACTATGTGGAATTTGTACATGTTATTGCTTTCAACGTTTGCTGCGGTTCAGGGTTTGGCGCTCCAAATGCCAGTATTTGGAAGTACCTCGGTTGAGTCAGGCCTGCACAGAATATTACCACTACCATTGTCATCTCACTCGTAACCGTAGCTCCTATAGGGTTCCGAACTCTTTTTATATGCGAACTAAGCCTCGATCCCCGAACTCTGAAGACCAGACAGTTAAGCAAACGCCACATCTTGAGCTCCGGATGGTCACACCGTAGGGCTAAACGGGACCTATCCGGTTGTATTTATTTATGGAACCCGATATGAGAAACAGCCCATGAAGCATCGGGATCAGTGATCTGGAGCCCCCATGGCACCTCTAGGCCCAAAATCCGAAGCCCGAAAATCCCGAATTGGATCCAAGGTACCTTAGGGGTATTTAGAAATAATTTTTGGTTATTGGTTATTACATTCATAACCAAAACGGTTAACCTTCAGTTCCCCATGATACCCGACAAGTAAGGTACCGTGGCCCCCAGATCTCTGGGCCGAAGCCCACCATCTCGCCGCTGATGACCTTCCAGCCTGCAGCAGGCCCACAAAATCTGTCGGGGCGGACCCCAGAGACTCCAAGATCCCTTAATTAAGGAATATACCTTAAATTATGGTAGGATCCCTAATATGATTTAAGGTATACTCCTTAATTAAGGGATATTAGAATCCCCTAAACCCTCAACCCTAAAGCTCCCTTTAAGGATCCCTTTAAAGGAACCCTAAACCGGTATACTCCTTAATTAAGGGGTGTTGGAGTCTCTGGGGAGTTTATGATGGTTTAAGGGCCTTTAGGCTTTAGGGCCTAGGGCCTTTGGGGTCTTTAGGGTTTAGAGTTAAAGGGCGTTTAGGCTTTAGGGTTTAGGGTTTCGGTTTAGGGTCTTTAGGGTTTAGGGTTTCGGTTTAGGGTCTTTAGGGTTTAGGGTTTAAGGGCGTTTAGGCTTTAGGGTTTAGGGTTTCGGTTTAGGGTTTAAGGGCGTTTAGGCTTTAGGGTTTAGGGTTTCGGTTTAGGGTTTAAGGGCGTTTAGGCTTTAGGGTTTAGGGTTTCGGTTTAGGAGCAGAGTTTGGGATTGGTGGCTTAGGGTGTGGGGGCCAGGGTTTAGGATTTATGATGCAGGCTTCATGCAATTGAACTCGGGCTTTGTAAGCCTTGGGTGAGATGGCGTGGTGATGATGATGATGGATGATATGCGGTGATAGGGATGGGAGTAAAGTTGGATGATGTAGCTGTTGATGAATGGTACAGATACTCCCAGGAATTCCTACAACCTTCCTTCGGTGTAACCTGACCAAGAAAACCCATTTTGCAGCATCGTACCTGTCCTCAGACTTTTGTTGGGAATCAGAGTTCTGGTCTTGGTGTCAACCAGCCCAACCAGCCAGAAGAAGAAGCATGAAGACGAAACGGTGGATAGGCGGAGCAGCGCGAGATAATGTCCATCCACGGTTGGAAGCATGGGCCCGTAATATGGGCCCTTAGGCCTTTTCAGGGGTTCTAGGGACCCTTAAGAGTCTAAAAAGGGTAAAAAGTATGTAGAAAAGGATCCCAAGGTTAAGGGCCCTAACTAGGGGTCCACGGTTTCAACCGTTGAGTCCATGCCAAACCCTGCGACGGACCGAGGCAAGGATTGCCCGGAGTCTTGCCGGAATGGCTGCCCCAGCTGCAATGGCGACTGCATCGGTTCCTTGGCTGCTTCCTTCATAGGGACTCTTAGGTGCGGTTAAGGGGGAGGGGGGTCGGGGACTATCCTTCCTGAAATAGGCCTTATTAAGTCCTGATTATGGGCATTAAGGTCCCCTACCCCCTACTCCCTACCCCTTTTGAGGATCCTTATGATTTCGGTGTCATACCGTAGCATGGAAGTGCTTATCCTCGTGTTTCTGGTCTACGGTTCTTGACCTGATCTGCCGGACTGAAAGCAGTTTAGCCATGGAGCATATGGGAGTCTCCGAAAGGCGACCCTAAATATAGTACCCTAAAAAGCAGTATCCTTGTTATAAGGACCCTAAAATCAGGTACCCCCCCCGCCCCCCAATTTCCGGAAACCCCCATATCGGTTTTCTTCTGGAACTTCTGGTCAGGGAGGTTCTTCCCGATGGTCCCTCCTCTTGGGCGACCCCGATTTCTCTTCAGGAACTTAGTCCTGACCCCAAAATTTAAGCCCTAACCCCGAACCACAGCAGAAGACTGTTGATGTTGAGTGGTAAGAACCACAAAATCTGGCAGTAGGATGTAACACATTCCACGCCCAAGAACTCTGAACTCTTACATCCTATGCAGCTCAAACTCCAGCTTAACCTGCAAACCCCAGCCAGAGCCCTTGAAGCCAAGCCCTTCCAGCTCGAAACTCCCCTAAACCCTAAACCCTGAACCCTAAACCTGAAACCCTAAAACCCTAAACCCAAAACCCGAGGGTTGAATGAATGCAGGCCACCAGCTGGAAAATTTCGAACAACCTTGAAGCTTTGGCTCGAGGCTGTGATTTCTGCGACCCGAACCGCTCGGGGCCTTTTGGCAAAGCCGCCGGGCCCCTGGTCGTGGGGTGTTCAGGGTTTAGGGTTTGGGGCGGGGGGATAGGGCTCTTGTAAGGGATTGTTGTTGTCGTTGTTGTTGGATGGTTGGGTTTGTTGGATGGTTGGGGTTTAGGTTGGGCTTGCGGTCGTAGGCGTCATAGCTTTGAAGGTTTTCGGGCATGGCGCGCACTTATCCGAGCCGTAGGTCTTTGCAGATACGGATTTGCAGGCGCTGCTCGCCAAAGTTTAGGGTCCCAAAAAGCCACATAAGCATAAGCGCTTCAGGGGATATCCCTACCTCACTGGGCTTTATTATAAGGGGTTTATATGGGAAATCACTATCCTTATTTTTGGCTTATGTGCTTTTTTGGGGCCCAGAAATTCAAGCCCGACAACCTAAAGCCCTACTAAACAGAATTCCCAACGTGAACCCTGAAATCAGCCTGAATCCCTCCAATCTCGTGTTCAAGCCCTTATAGCCGTAATCCATTTTTTGCCACCTGTGGAGTATATCCTGTGACAACTCTATAAGACCCTGTTCTAGTTACTTGAAAATCTTCTACCCTTAACCCTAAACCCCATAATTGCTCTTTCGATTTTCCAACTCTTTTTTTTTGCATCTTTTGGGTGTGGAGCGGTACGGCTCCGGGGCTCAGACTTTCCATTCCTGCTTGATGAGGCTGAGTACTGCAAGGCCGACCTGGAGGCGCCGGGGGATCTCGGGCCTAGGCTGTGCACGCACAGTGCCTGCTCGGACTACGGTTGATGATATGGGAGTTTCTGAAAATTAAGGGTATCTTGTTTTGGGTCTTTATAGTAAGGATCCTACAATATAGGGTCCTATATTAGGTTTAGGGTTTAGGCTTCGGCTAGTGACTCGTGTTACGGCGACACCACCACCACCACCACCACCACCACCACCACCACCACCACCACCACCACCACCACCACCACCACCACCACCACCACCACCACCACCACCACCACCACCACCACCACCACCACCACCACCACCACCACCACCACCACCACCCACCACCACCACCACCACCACCACCACCACCACCACCACCACCACCACCACCACCACCACCACCACCACCACCACCACCACCACCACCACCACCACCACCACCACCACCACCACCACCACCACCACCACCACCACCACCACCACCACCACCACCACCACCACCACCACCACCACCACCACCACCACCACCACCACCACCACCCTTGCTCCCACCGCTACTCAGCACTACCAGTCCCACTGTCACTACGACTGCTACTAATTCTGTTACTGGTGACATTGGTGCCACTACTACTTCTACTACTTCTACTATCGCTACTATTGCCACTATTGCCAGTACTACTACTGGCATCACTGCTCTGCTGCTTTCATCAGTGCTACCTTTGGTACTTCCGCTGGTGAGACCTAAGCCCAAGACCTTAAACCCTGAGCCCAAAAGCCCCGAGCATGGCGGAGCCAAGCCCCGGGAGCATTATATTGTATAGTATGCTATAACATGCTATACCATGTTATGTTATGATATACTACATTATATATCCTATCATGTTGTATTATAGTTTGTCATATTACAGTGTGTTACATTATGTAAATTCCCCTTCTGCAGGCTTCTGACCAGGATGGCACGCTCCTTTGGTCGCCGCCCCCTTCCAAGGGCCTCCAGACTGTGGCGGGAATGCCCATGGACCCTTGGCCTTCTCATAGGGACGCTTAAACCCTAAACCCTAAACGCTAAACCCTAAACCCTAAATTAGGGTAGGGGGGAGGGCGGGAGGGGACTATACTTCCTAAAATAAGCCATGGACATTGAGGCCTCCTAAGGGACCCTTGGCCTTTGGTCATCGTGTAGTTTGTTGTACTATGCTATAGTATACCATGGTACACTATATGTATAGCATATCATCGTATATTATTGTATATCATTGCATATTATAGTATATCAGAGTATATTACAGTATATTGTAATGCATCATCGTATGTTAGAGGTGCGGTCAGCTTTTCCGGCTGGTTCAGGTTTTAGGTTTAGGCTTCCTAAACCCTAAGCCCTTAACCGAGGGTGTTTGGGGTTTGTGACGGGTGCGGTCTTCAGGTTCAGGGTCGAGGGCGAAGGGTGCGAGCTCTTGAGGTACCCTTGGGGTCTCAAGATCAGTGTTCCTGTCTAAGGGCCATAGTTTGTGTTCTGTCTCATTCATGTTCTCGGTGGCCCCCTTCCGTTCCGTTTCGTGACTGTGGGGGTTGGGATTCAGGGCTTGGAACGTACCCGCTGTCCGAAAGGCTAAGCCCCCACACCGTGAGCCCTAAGCTCTACCCCCCAAAGCTTCTGCTTAACTCACCACGAAGGCTCCCATATGTTATGGACCGGTCATAGATCCCTTTTAAATCCCTCAAGCACCTTTGAAACATACCCTAAACCCTAAACCCTAAACCCTTTTACGCGCTTTCCGCTACCTGCGGATTCGGCCGACCTTAACTGCTAGGCGGAAAAAGGCGTCCAAAAAAAAAACCTAAACCCTAAACCCTAAACCCAAGGATGTCAACTGCCGAGCGCCCTGCTACGAAGTCTGGTTCTCTTCAGTCACGAGCTCAACCTGGCGATAGCTTTCTTTCTTTATACCCAGAGACTCCAATATCCCTTAATTAAGGAATATACCGGTTTAGGGTTCCTTTAAAGGGATCCTTAAAGTTTAAAGGGAGCTTTAGGGTTGAGGGAGGGGGGTCCAAGGGGGGTATATGGCCTAGTGATCCCTAATTCCCCTCCCTTAAGGATCCCATAAAGCTTTCTATAAGTGGGATTATGGGGGTCCCTTTAGTATATAAATCCTGCATTACCTTAAGGATCCTAAGCTATCTGGTTCTGTGCGGGCTGTAGAGCCCTATGCGGGCGCGTCCCAAAAATCTTGCAATGAATTCAACCGCGGGGCAACGAGCAGTATGTACTCAGAGACACTTCTCAAAATGCTCTGGCACAGAAATCTGCAAAACTACATTGGATGAGACGCCCCAGTCTCCAGCAGCACCTGTACAGAAGAGCGGCTTTGGGGGGAGATGGAACCAGCGCACGCCTCTGACGTGAAAAGCTGTCTCCTCCACCACACAAAAGAAACAAACCTGCAGCGCTGTGCAGCACTGGGCGAAGCTTACCCTCTACTCAGTTACTGCAAAGTCCACATTGGTAGCGTGCAGCATGTTGCGTATGTGACAGGATGACCAAACCACCTGGATCAAAGATGGTCGTGCTCTGGGGATCCCTTCCGATAACGATCTCCGAGTCAATGCACCGGACGTGAGCAGAGTCGCTCGTCGGCGCTTTCCACAGATCATCAACGGATGCAGGCTCGAAAACGACCAACAAGCAGCAACAGCAGAACACGTGTTCGCCACCACCTGCCTCACTGAAGAAGCCATCCAACGTGTCATCTCCGCAAGCGAACATCCCGTCCGCAGGAGTGTGTAGATCGGGCTGAATGCCGTGCTCGAGGCAGAATAGCTCCCAGGAGAGATTGCCGATATGGTCGCCACGCTGGCTGGCCCACTGTGCGTCACTCTCCGACTGGTCGCACAGCGAGTGAAACAGTATCCGACCCCGGTCAGTGTTCCTCATCGGAAGAGTTTCCCAAACCATGTCGTCAGAGACTTTTTTGATACCATGTCCATCCAGGCCATCCACACTACAAGCGCCCGCAACCTGACATGTCTTCCCACATGGGCCATCATGCCAGCAACTTCCGTTAGCCATCTTGTCATGGCAAGAATCCTCACCAGAGAAAGCCTCTATTGCGAAGGACCGTATCAAAGCTTTAGAGCCCGATAGATCGATACCCATACGCTCTTGCACAGCCTCTCGCAGTGCACGCAAAGATATGGGCCCAAATGCACCAAGCTGACGAGCCACCACAGTAACTTGGTCCTTAAGGGCCTCCTCGAAGTCGTAGCCGTCGTCCATATTGGCAGGCGTGCCCCAGATTCCCGGCATCTGCCGGGCCATGTGCTGGTCCCTGGCTATGGGTCCCCGCTGTTGGGGAGTTTGATCCAGGACCCTCGATCCTAAGCTATGGAAATTATGGCGCTAGCTGTCTTTCTTTAAAAGTAGGGGCCCCAGGGATTCCAATATCCCCCTAGGGGTTCCTTTAAAGGGATCCTTAAAGGGATCTGTAGGGTTTGGGGTTTAGGGGGTTCTAATATCCCTTAATTAAGGAATATACCTTAAATTATAATAGGATCCCTAATATGATTTAAGGAATGTTCCTTGATTAAGGGATATTGGGGTCTCTCGGTAGGCCTGTGCGGTTTACGAGGTATCTGCAAGGTTTCACTAAAGTTTCTTTACTTTATAAGTTTTCCCGTAAGGGGATTCTGTTTCGGGCTTGGGGGTGGGACTTTGTTCAGGTTTTGAGGGTGAGGGCTTCGGATTGAGGTGGCCTTAAAGGTCTAGGTCGAGGTTCCAGTGGAATGTATACCCCTGATCTTGTAAACCCTCTTTCCTTGCGTGTTTCAATATAATATTAAAACACTACAGTGGATATCCCAATACATTGGGATATCCATTGTAGTCTTATCACGCAAGGAGGATATATTTATTCGCGGTTTGCATTTTGGTGCTCGGGCTTCAAATTTCTGGGGTGCTCGGGTGGAGGTTGGGCCCCGACGGTCTCTGTCTCCCGGCTTGTTGCGATTCGTTTGGGGTTTCGGTGGTAGCAATTGCAGTGGGCATCCTAACCTAATGATCAACATCAGTGCGGTTTCGACAACCACAGGTCAAGAAGAAGAGGTTACGAATGAGATCGGGCCAAATCCCCAAGGCATGGCAGGAAGAGTGCTTCCAACTAAGTCTTCGACCTTCCAACTGGTGACAGCCCTTATCATGGTAGGTAGAGGCTCGGAATCTGATGGGAACCAGCAGTCTACACAGTTGATGAAGGAGCAAGAAGCTGTAAAAAGTCTTAGACCGTGCTCGAGCTGCGGCTAGCCTCAACGGCGCATGGGTAGTTCTCCGAACGCGTACGCCACTCTGAGCATGACCCCATGACAGGCACAAATTTTAGGAAGCTCGCTCGCCCAATAGTTCTTTCAGGTGCCATCCTTTTCGGGCTTTCAGACGCAGATCGTGAGGGGAAACAACTCCCTGGTCTTGCCCGAGGTGCATTTCGATCTGAGGATTCCGGGGTCTTGCCGGTGGTGGTCTGCTGTTTTTTAGTGGCTGCTGTTGGGTTTCAGTTTGTGTGTTTAATTGCATGCGCAGTTCCTTTTCTTCTCAAGATTTCTGTACTTGTGTCTTAGTTTCGGTTCAGGGCCTGAGGCGTGGGTCGAACCATCACAGTCCTAGAGACTCCAATATCCCTTAATTAAGGAATATTCCTTAAATCGTTGTATTCCTTAATGAAGGGATATTGGAATCCCTTAAACCCTAAACTCCATAGATCCTGATAGGAGCCCTTAAAAGAACCCCTAGAGATCCCTTTAAAGGAACCCTAGGTATTCCTTGTTCAATGGATATCGGAGTCTCTGAGCTCGTGGAAGGTCTCCACCGCGGCTTACGCACGTGTCCGAGCACTTCAGTTCTCCGAGGCTTCGCAGACCTCGCAGACGGGATAGGGTTTAGGGGTTTAGGGGTTTAGGGATCAGGGTTCAGGGTTTAGGGTGTAGGGCTTAAGGTTTAGGGTTTAGGGTTTAGGTAGAAGGGATTGGGGTTTAGATTTCACGGGCTGGAACCTAGAGAAATCACCACGTCGAATCGCCCAGCCCTTCATCCCAGAATACGAAGTCGGAGGGGTTGCAGTCGCGGTACGGGGATTGAATTATTCCCCTATAGTCCACAAACCGTTTATTCTCATCTAACTAGTTCTAACCTATATTGAAACGTTTTAAGACCTTAGACGAAACCCATTAATGCATCTTTAAGATCTTGTTGAACTTTGATGAAACCCACCCTAAACCCTAAACCCTAAACCGTTGAGACCTCGGACACGCCCTAGAAAGCCCTTGAAGCCCTAGGAGAAGGCCGGTCAAGCCAGCTTAGCACCCTCTTCAGACCCCCTCCTCGGGTTTCGGCTGAGTCGTGTAGGGTTTACGGTTCTTTAGAACCTTACCTTTGGGTCTAGGCCGAAACCCAAATCCCTAAACTCAAAGTAGATCCGTTGTCTCTCAGCGCAGGTCACGGGTGAGGTGGGCCGGAGTGCGAGGATGCCCAGCGTGGGTTTGCTTACGGCTTTTGGGGTTCAGGGTCCAGGGTTGTTCGGGTTTAGCGCATAGGTTGTTTCGGCTTATGGGTCTAGGCTTTAGGGTTCAGGGTTTAGCGTTTAGACTTCCGTGTCTAGGGTGCAGGAACCCTAGACAGGTAGGTTCTTTGGGGCTTAGGGTTGAACTTTTTTTTAACTTGGGGGGTGGGTTGGGGGTCGACCGTGAAAGTTTAGGGTTCATGCTTGTGGGTTTAGGTTTTGAGAGTTTCGGGTCTGAGGTTTAATACCGAGGTCCATATAGGTAGGATCGGGTGCAGGGCATATTACAGCACAGTTTTATGGATCCATGCGAACCCAGCATATCTTCTCGAAGTCTAGCAAGGCTCTCGGGGACAGCAGCCCCCGAAGGTGCCCAACAGGAACCCCGCAGGGTGGCTTCCAGCTTGGAATGGGATTCTCGTACAAGGTGTCGGATCCACATTTGGGTTTCCGCAAACAGGGGACCCCAATAGAGTACCCTAAAGTAGTAGGATCCTCATTATAAGGACCCCCAAAACAAGGTACCCCCTGATTTTCGGAAGCCCCAATTTGGATGAAGTACAGGTTCGCAATACCCTGAACCCTCAACCCTAAACCCCTAAACCCTAAACCCTAAACCCTAATACCCTGAACCCTAAACCCTGAACCCTAAACCCTGAACCCTCAGCCAGCTTCGGCCCCCTGGGTTCCGCGGGGGGTGTTTCAGGCTTGGCTCAGGCCCCACCTTCGACCCTAAATAGAAAGAAGCCATTGCACTTGAAAAAAAAAGATCCGAAACCTTCAAAAAACCCCAGCGACAACAGCCCAAAAATCTAAAAACCCTTCGCAAACAAGTCCGTAACACATTGCAAACCACCCAATGAGGTTTACAACACCCAGAAAAAGCTCCAAAAGAAAGTCCGTCCAACGACAAGAGCATCCAAAAGCCCATACCATCTGGCACAACTCGCGGACAAGGAAGGAGACTTGGGATCGGTAAGCAGAGCATGACGGCCCGTAGGCCTGCAGGCGGTTGGCACACATGCCCTGCTGCCAGCCGGGAGCCGCCAGCAAATGGTGCTGCGGTGACCGTGCGGGACAGTAAGCTGTGGCTGACTGATCCCACGTGCCGCGGGGCACGGAACATATTGCAGATACAGATACAGATACAGAAGGGCCTTCAACCCTAGGCCCAAAAGAATTGTTAGAAAATTTGCACCGTGCCGAGGCGTGGAGCAATCCCATCAGCTGGGGTGCTGGGGGCGCTGAGGCACCTCCGTTTTTTGTTTGGGGAATGGCTTGGGGGTTTAGACGTCAGGGTCCCTCTTGAGGTTTTTTTCGTGCTTCGGGAGCAGAGCTTCCACCTTCTCCGCCAGGTGGCGGTGCCGACCACGGTGAAGACCAGCGTTGGGGCACCAAGGGGGGCAGACCAGGGATCCTCGCTGTCACACATGTTTCTATCACAATCTTTGTCATGATCTTTAGCATTTGCATTGTCATCGTCATTATCATGACCGTTATCATGATGTCGACACTGTTAAGTTTCCATTGTTCTTTTAACAGATTTTCCAGCTTGTGCCTCCGCAACGCGTGTTGTCGGGCCCTTTAAACCCTAAACCCTGAACCGTGCTGTGCTTAGCTTTGGTTAGTCGGGAATGGAGGAATCGGGATACAATTATAACTACTATTGCTACCATTCTTCCATTCCCTACTAACCAAAGGTAAGTTTCTGTAAGCCTTGAACTCCGAGATCTAAACTGAGCTTTTGAGTACCATACTTTAGTACTTCCCTACCTTTAATACTTCCCCACTAACCAAAGGTTTAGGGTTTTAGGGTTTAGGGTTTAGGGTTTAGGTGTGTCGGGTAGTTCCTACGAAATCTGTGGGCCTCGGTTTTGAGTCCAGGGCTCCGGGCTCAGGAGTTGCTAAGTTACGCGCTCCTCGAGCTCAGAGAGATGGGCCAGGGCATCGGATCTTAAAACCCCCAAACCCTAAACCCCTAAACCCGAAAATTATGAACCTTAAACCGTAAACCCCTAACCCTAAACCCCTAAACCCCCAAACCCCTAAACCCTAAACCCCTAAACCCTTAATCCTGAAAAATTATAAACCCTAAACCCTAAACCCCTAACCCTAAACCCCTAAACCCCCAAACCCCTAAACCCTAAACCCCTGAACCCTACAAATTATGAACCCTAAACCCCTAACCCTAAACCCCTAAACCCCCAAACCCCTAAACCCTAAACCCCTAAACCCTACAAATTATGAACCCTAAACCCCTAACCCTAAACCCCTAAACCCCCAAACCCCTAAACCCTAAACCCTGCTCTAGGTTCTTCAGCTTCCTAGAGGAATGATGGGCAATCTGGAGTTGCATCGGGTTTCTACAATCCAAGGGCAAAAGGAGGGACCCTTAATAAGGACCCATAGGTATACCCTTAATATAACTATTATATACCCATCATATAGCCCATTACAGGGTAGGGGTCCCCATTAAGGGTCCCTCCTGTTCCCCTTTGATACAAGGTTTCTGTGGTGCCATAGAGCCCCTAAGCCTCAAATCCGAGACCGCAGAATCTAAGCCTTACGTCCTACGGCGGCAAGTGGGTTCTTGTTAATGAATATACTTCAAGTTACCATAATAGGGATATACTATAGTATATCTATAGTAGATAATTGGTTACTTTATTGTGGTAACTTAAATTAAATCCGATAACAAGCCCTATAATCCAAAGAATCTGCAGAGCACCTCCCACTGCAGACGTTTACAACGCGAACTTTCACGTCAATCACTTTGACCACGACTGTGTCGACCTTACCTCCGGACGCCCCAACGACGATGCTGGGAAGCCCAGTGGGTTGCCAGAGATATGCTTGAGGGTTTAGGGTTTAGGGTAAGACGCGCAGAGGGGACTTGAGTTCGGAGCCCTACTCCTTCATCCACCTCTTTACCATCTCGGTCACTCTTGTGTCATTCTTGTTCCCTGCGTGCCGGTCGCCGTGCCGGTTTTCTGTCGCCCTCACCGTCGTCGTCGGTCTCTGTCGTCGTCGGTCTCCGTCGTCGTCGACATGTGTATGTGCCTTCTGGGTGTGTCCTGATTGCATTCGTGACTGTTTTGTTGATTTTCATCGATAGTTGCTGTTGCGGTGGCGGTGGAGGCAATGTGGTGGCGGTAAATACTGATGCAACAGTAGCAGAAGCAGCAGCAGGAGGGAGAGTAGCAGCGGCTGCTTCTCCATTGCAAACACAGTCTATTGCTTTTACCATCACCAGTACTATCGCCATCTGAACCCTAGGCTCTACTCCCTAAACTGAAGCCTTAAACTTCTAAGCCCTAAACCCCTAAACCCTAAACCACACCACAAAAACCCCAAACCCCTGAACCCTAAACTTCGAGGCCCCTCAACTTACCTTTGGTTAGTAGGGAAGGGGGTGCAACTATAACTACTATTGCTACCATTCTTCCATTCCCGATTGACCAAAGGTAAGTAAAGCCTGAAGCCCTGAGCCCAACAGTGCTGGGATCGAGGCAACCTCTCTGGGCACTGCCAGCCTCCCGACTGCCAGGCTCGCAGCCCTCACGCAGAGTTTAGGGTTTAGGGTTCTTCTTCTTCGGGATTGGCTCGAGTCTGTCGACGCGCCTTGCATTCTCTCATGCAAACAGTAGGGCATCGGTGGCTGAACTGCGTAGCTCCTGGATGACGCTATCTTCAGCAATCATCAACTTATCAGAGCTCTGTACTGCAGTTAGTCCCTCTGCCGAAAAGGGCGACACCCGCGTGGTCGCGGAGCAAAATTGTATCCACTCGGCGGCAAATTTGCACGCCGGGGACATCGAATCCCTAGGGAGCGAAATCACCTGGGACCGGGTCGCCTCAACCTCATCGCTATCAGTAACCTGCCACCACCGCTTGAAGAGCGATGGAAGATCCGCCACTTCGTGGACCGTTGTTAACATCTGCATCAGGGAACCTGCGGCGAATGAGGGAGTCGAGGTATTAGCCTGCTCTGGCGCAGGGCGGAGCGTTGCCCAGAATGGGCGAGGACCATGAAAGGGCTGTACTGGGCATTGTTTGGTACCCAGCTCCTCGTCCGGCTGGGGATCGAGGTCTGCGCCGACATATGTAGCGCTGCAACACCGCGCTCGACGCAAGTGTTCACGCAATCGAGATGTCGACCAGAATTCCTGGGAACAGGCCTGGCAGGATGTCCCGATGGCACTACGACAGGGCGCACGCTGTCCGTGGACCTTTTCGCAGTGGGCTGCCAGGGCCGACGGCGTAGAGCAGAGTTGCCCACACTGAGCGCATCGGTGCGTCGCTGCTCCTGTAAGGAGCTTGACGATGAGCATGCCCTGTGCCTCTGCCTTGTGAAGAGCCTTTGCCCGAGTCGCTATCAAAGGCTCGAGATGGGCTCTAGATTGGACTGCTTTGGTGCGGACCTGTTTCAGAAAACTGCGGGTGCCTGCTGCGTCCAGGGGCCAGGACAGAAGATCGCGGCCCTGCGGGGTCTGTTGCAACCACTTTGACAAACGCGCATTGGGCACCAGCTGCGCTGCCCAGTGAACAGCTATTTGGGCTTGGTGCAGCCAGGACTGTGACGCTGCCAAAAGCTCACCCAGGAAAGCTGTCCCATGCGCAGCGATCTGCGAAAGGATGCGGATGCGGCCCACATGCATTGCCTCTTCCGGCAGCAAGGCTCCAATCGCTATGCAGACATGTTGGTCCGTCATGCGCCAGCAATGGTAGCCATGCAAGGGCTTGACAGCCCTGCGCAAGAAACCGAGGTAGGCTGCACGGTAGCATTCTCGCTCTTTGCGTGTTGACATGGGCCAAGTGGCTAGTCCATGCAAAAAGCGGTTCAGCACCAGCGAGAAGTAGTAGTGGCATTTCTCCGCCCTGGTGAGCACGGGGTTGCGCAAAAGCCGAGTGCAGACTTTGGTACAGACGATATTAGCTGCCGCTTGCCGGCGTTGTATGTCTGGGACCGCTGAGCACTCAGGGGTGCGTTTTGTGCCAAGGTGGACATAATGCTCGGTACATACAAGCTGAGCCTGTGAGCTATTGGGCATGTCAACAGGTATCGTACCTTGTCCCGCAACAAACAATTCGGTACGAACCTTCTGCGCGCCGCTGCCTTGCACAATGACAATTGCCTCGGATTTGCCAGGCGCAAAATTCATGGCAATGCCAGAGGTACTAAGGGCCTGGGCAGTGATACTGGCAGTACGCGACAGACGGTGTGGCAGGTCGCTCGGTTTGCAGGCTCCAACTGGGACTGCAAAATCGTCCAGCCACGTGAGGAGGACTGCCTCCGTGCCCTGGACAGTGACCAGCAGACCTTCCGCACGGAGGCAGTCACGCATGCACTGGTAACTGGCCGCGATTGCAAGCTGAAAGAGCAAGTCCGCCAAAGGAGCCCCTGGCACAGTGCCCGCCCGTGTGCGGTGGACTTGTGGGTCGTCCGGCAGCGTGGTGAACCACGTGCATTCAAAGTTGGCCTGGACTAACTTTTGAATGATCTGGTCTAGCTCGGCCCTATCTAGTGCCGTCCTGTCCAGGGTAATCTCTCGGTAGGCTTGCTTGATGCTGTCCTCGATCGGCAAACCCTGGACCCATTGGATGCGGTCCGCCTCACTGCCTTGGCAAAGGATGTGGCGATTAGTGGAGTAAAAAGCACTAACTCCATCCACATACAGGAGGGCTCCGGTTTGGGCGCTGCTTTTCAAGAAGTCCAGGTAGGCCTGCCCTGTCATCGCAGGAACCTCCATCGGCACTGCTCTGCGCGCCCCTGCAGTGCCTGGCTGCACGATATTTTCTAAACCTTGCAGTAGGCTGTGTCGCATGGCTTTACCTGTGGCTTTCGCCGCCGCTTCTAATAAGGCGATGGCTCTGTATCCCGCTGGCGTGAGGGGGCACTTCATTGGTTTCGCCAAGGGGACAGACAGAGAGCCTGACCATAAGAGCGGGGATTGGCCTCTCGCAGCCATCTTCAACACTAAGGGATAGTGCGTGGCTGCAGCGAGGCTTGGCGAGGCCCGGTAGAAATCGCCTGGCAAGCCAGAGAGGCCTGGTGCCTTCCTTGGTTTGAGGGAGGCAAATCCATGCGCCAGGTCCCCGACTGAAGGCATGGAGCTGGCTTCAAAGTGGCTTTCATCGGGGCCCTCGGACTGATCGCGGAGACTTGCAAAAGGGAGGGAGTCAGCCATCTCCGCCTTGGCGAAGTGCTGCCCCATCCGACGGAGGACCTCCGTGTGCTGCAACGAGCCGCGGCAGCCAGCAGATTGCATGCCCTTTTACAAGGCTGCGCACCAGGCCTCACACACACAAAGAGCCACGAAGGTAATCCAGGCAATGAGCTCGCTGACTCCCTTGCTACTTGGGCCCCGGGCCAGCCGTCCAGCGAGCTAGACGGCCACATAGCAGATTTGATTCAGGAACGCATCATGGACTGGCTTTGGCTACTGCAGCCCGCCTTTGCCCCTGCCAGCTGGCCGACGCTCGATGCCTCCGGTACCACGAAGCTGGTACAAAGGCAGCAGGAGTATACCCTGCCTCTAGCGCCTGCTGCTTGGAGTCCGCCTCATACTACTACAAAGACCAAGGCGGCCAGTATTTCCTGGAAGATGTGCACTTATAACACACTCTCTGCCCGGTCAGCACTGCAGCGGCACAGCCTGCAAACCTTCATGCGCAGCCAGAGCCTGGAAATCTTAGCTCTTCAGGAAACAAGAGAATCTCCTGACCCTGTTAGGATCGTCGACGGAATCTATCGATTCGCCAGCGCTGCACCGGCAGGTCAATGTGGCTGCCAGATTTGGGTTGATACTAGATGCCACCCGGGCAAATGGGACTTGCGTTCCTTTGCCATTGTGCACAGCCATCCAAGACTGCTGGCCATTACAGCCGTGTATGCCGGAGAGCGGGTCGCTCTGATCTCCGGGCATGCACGCACGTCGGTCTCAACACAGGAAGAAATTCATGAGTGGTGGCAATTGATGCACAATGTGCTCAGAGCCTTGCCAAGGGGGCACATCCCTGTTATCTGTGCCGATACCAATGCCCGGTGGCAGGGCACCACGGCCTGCAACTGCAATGCATACCATATGGAGGAATTCCTCCAGCATCATGACTTGGCCTCCTCCGGCACTGTGGATTATCAAGGGAGGCCCATCACCACCTGGCGGTCCCCCAATGGTAAGCCAGCTTGTTTGGATTTTGTCATGTTCCCGCGTAGCTGGCAGCCCTCTGTCAGCAATCTGGGTACAGCCGACATCCTCGACGAGCATGCGGGCATCGACCACCAGCCCTTGCTGATACACATGAAGTTGTGCTTCGAAGAACATACTGTCCACAAAACTCCGCGTTTTGATGTGCATGCCATGCACACCGCAGAAGGCAAGCAGTGCATCCAAGAGATTTTCCGTGGGGCGCCACAGCCTAGCTGGGAAGTCGGCGTCGATAAGCACCTTGCCACCCTCAATGCCTATTTCCAGAGTGAGCTTGGCAAGCGCTTCAAGACGTCTCAAACCAAACCGCGCAATCCGGTCGTCTCCGCTACCACTTGGCAGTTGCTACAATGCAAGAGGCAAATGCGGAGAGCCCACCAAGGGCGGACGGCATCGCAGCGATACTCCTTACTGCGATCGGTTTTCCGAGCTTGGCGTGACCAGGGCAATCCCGTCAAAACTCGGACCCATGCTAGAGCCTTTCGCCAAGAGATGGTACACCGGATGGCCAAGGACACATGCTACTGCCTTACCATTCGCAGGCTCAGCAAGCTGGCTAAGCATAGCATCAGGCAGGATGAGGCGCAATATACCCGACATGCGTTCCAAGAGGCCCACCAAGAAGGGCCCGTGCGCATGGCGCATCTGATTAGGGCCGTCTTGAAAACAGGTCGCCGATACCAGGCTCCCAGGTTGGCCATCACACTCGTCTTTGCCCGCTGCCTGAGCCGAGGCAACCTGCGCAGCGGAGGTGGCATCATAACAGATGACGGCCTGCTTCCAAAGGTTGGCAACGCATACAAGGTGTGCAACCAGCTGAGCATAGACCTCCGCCTCAAAGGCATTAGACATATGTGTGCGCGGGCCGGAACGGCCTGCTAGAAAACCTGCCCAGCGCCACTGACCCTCTGCTAGTGCAAGCACGGCTACGGCCCAAGCTCCCGTGCTGCTGGTGGGGTCAAAAGAACCGTCAACATAGAGCATGGCTGCTTCAACTGTGTGGTCTTGCCTTAGGAGAGGAAGGTCATGTAACAGTGCGGCGGCTGCTGAGTGCATGGAGATGCCTTTGATGTCCTTCTGGAAGCGGTCGCGACGAAAAGGAGCGACAGCCTCCGCTAGGACCTCGTGGGTGGCCGCAAAGCTGAGCTTTCGTTCGAGGATTGGCATCAGTTTGGCGCGAGGAAGAGCCACTTCTAGACTGATCCTCTGCTTGTCCAGGGGCGTAGATTTCTTGAAAGGCGTGGCAGCGTCGGTATCGGAGCAAGGGTTCCACCCATGGCCATTGGTACAGGGGAAGCGCTGCTCCCAAGCGTTGCTGCCGGCCTGATCAAGTTTTGGA